GTGTGTGTGTGTGTGTGTGTGTGTGTGTGTGTGTGTGTGTGTGAATACATGTGCATGCACACATGTGAAAGTATATATGTATACATCTTCAAGTCTCTGGAAATGTTTTCTCCTTCATTACAAAAACAAATACAAATGTGTGTTTCAAGTTTTTGTATTTGAGAGCCAGTCTGCTCTAGTGATTAAGTCATCAGGCTAGAAAGCAGGAGACTGTAAGATCTTGTCCTACCTTCAGCTTGAAAGCCAGCCGGGTGACCATGGGTCAGTTACTCTCTCTAAGCCAAACTCACCTCATAGGACTATTGTGGGTAAAACAGGAAGAAGATGTGTTGGATTTGTTCGCTGCCTTGAATTATTTGTAGAAATATATTTTGAAAAGATGAAATGTAAATGAATACAATAGGGTAAAAAATATTTCATGTTTCTATCTGGCATCAACTTTACAGATGTCCCTTTTGGGGGTGGGGTGGGGGCTTTGCAATTTTAATGCTGTTTTTCCTTGGTATAGAAATCTAAGACATATACTTCTTTGGATGTCTCAATGTTATCATCAAATGCAACCTAAGGCAGAATATTTTAGTAGGGTTTTAAATAAAGTGTGACTTTATAAAAAAATCAGTTTTATTCCACTGATAATATTCAAATAGCATCTGAAATTGGTCAAAATTAGTTTGTAGAACATTGTGACCAGCTGTTATCACCCCAACTTTCAAAATATATGATATTGTGTTCATTATGTACAAGGCAATAACAACTTCTCACAAGAAACTGTTGCAGTCAATTGAAATTTCATGATAAGATTAATAACCTATATATTACACAAGGAAAAAGATAACTTTTAGAAGTAACATTGAATTCCAAACCATCAAAGCCTTATCTGATCAATTTGATAAATACTATAATCCTTTTGAAGTGCCCTTTATATATTTTCTTTATTAACATGTTTTCATAGTAGGTTAAGGGCAAAAAAAAAACCTTCTAGTTACTATAGCTAGGAATAATAGAAAGTAGAACAACTTTGGGTTTCATGCATCACTTAATTTCTACTTTGTTGTGCTTGATATCTGTTTTGTTACACACATACACAAACACTGAGAAACTTCAGAAGCCTTTCTAACTTCAACACCTCTTGATAAACTGTCAACTTTCTTAAAACTAAATTCAGAAGGGAATATCTTTCACTGTAGACTCTAACAGAGAAAGAGTCAAAAGTGTCCTTAAAGAACACATCTGCTCTTCTAGTAATAGAAGTACCATTGTTGGTTATGATTAATTCTCTTTGGATTTGTTCACAGTGGGGATAGTTTGTATTCCTTGTTTTGCTTCTATACTGTATGTGATTCTGACACAACAACAATTATGGAGAGAAATTTATAGTGGCTTTCTTTTGCTCCATAGAGGAGATCTGTTCATCAAAGTAGTTTAACTACAATTGGTACAGTTCTTAGACAAGCTGAAAACTATACACACCTGAGATTTTTTAGAAAGAACAGAGCTGCAATGTCATGAACATAGGACGATGAAATACAAGGATGAAAACACATGCACCAGTTAAAGGAATATCCTTCACAGCTGCGATGAATCGGTTTTTATTTTTTATTAGCAAAGATATATATAGGTATCTATCCCACCTCTTCTTTCAACAGTATTAATAGTGCAAAACTGTTCTGATTGATGGTTGATACAGCAATTTCTTCTATGACACTAGTGCTAAGGCAGATATTTAATTTAAAACATTAACTTGATTATATGTATCACATTTATATTATCTTCAGAGCATCTGTTTGCAAGGTAAGCCCAACCCTTATTGTGAAGTAGATATGCTTAGGTATGCCTGTGTTGTCCAGCCAGTTATAGTTAATGGGAATTGGATAGTTTGTTAGGAATTGGGAGCTGTCCCCTTAAGGGAATGCACTGTTCTCACCTTCTCTCCACTCCATGCTTGGATCAGGAGAGGGTGGTCCTTGCTGCACATCTTCCCCATAAGGCAACTTTGAACAGCTTTCAGATTATAAAAAAATAAATAGAAAAGTAATTAAACTATTCAAATTTTAAAACTATGCAAAAACCAGGACTTAGGGATGGCATGGGAATGAGGTCTTGCCTTGTCAACTATCTCCTTACATCAGCCTACTCCCCTTATTACAGTAGTAGTGGTGGACTGCTGCCAGTTCGGACCAGCTCGCCCATACTGGTTGTTCTGACCACCTGCCCTGGTGCTATCCTGTCCTATGTATCCGGCTCGCTTGCCCCGCCCACGCAGCCCAGCTGATTCCTGCTACTCACTGGCTGCCACACGGAGGAAATCCCCATGTTTTTGCAGCCCCGTGCATGCACACATTTTCAGTTCTGCATTAGGCAAGCCAATTGTTATAGTATGTGCAGCCCATCTCTGTACGGCAGGCTCAAAGCCTGTTCAGATCTTCACAGGCTCCAGGCAATTTTACAAGGTGTTTTTTTTTAACTATAAATAATCTTATTGATCCAGAGTCAATAAAAATGAAAGAAACTGGAACGTTTGTATTTGGATCCTTTATCTTCCAGAGGCTAAACTCACCAATGCCTCCCATCTTGTGATCTCCTCATGAGGAGCAGCCATCTGGAGCACTTGTGGGCAATCTCAGTTCCTCTCCTTATCTTGCATCCCATCACTTTTAGCTGAGCCTTCTTTTTTATTCCTCTAATGTTTCTTTTTCTTTACTTTCTATTTTTCTCCATCTTTTTTTAGTTCATATTAGTTTTTAAGCTTGCAAATTGTAATCTTTAATAAAATTTATCACTTCCATTTAACAAAAAGTTAAAGTATCCTGGGAAATGTAGTCCATGTAATGTGGCCACATCAGTAATCCTGATTGATCACTGAATTTACCCTTGGTGGGTTGGGGGAGGTTTCTTCACTCTTGCCTGAACCTAGCCTCGTGCTAGCATCTCTACCCCTGCTTCTACGATATGGGATGAAAGGGAAAAGAGATAACCATCTTTTTACCCAGAAAGTCAGATATACAAAGGATTGGACATTAAGAAGAATCTCGTCATAACTGTGAGTTATTGAGGATGCCTGATGAACCAATAAAAAAGACTTTGTATGGATGCTTTGTGGAGTTTATCTATCTGTCTTTGTACAGGACAGAATAATGCCCAAATTAGACATGAGCATACATTGATTAGTGAGTAAGAGAAAATCACCAGGATTAGATTCAGCTGAAATTCATTGTTTATCATTATCTGTATTTTATAAGAGCCAGTTTGGTTAGTGGTTAAAGCACCAGGCTAGAAAGTGAAAGGTTATGACTTCTAATTCCATTTTAGCCATGAAAGTCACCTGGGTGACCTTGGGCTAGTCACTCTCTCTCAGCCCAACCCACTTCACAGGGTTGTTGTGTGGAATATAGGAAGAAAAGGGTTGTTGGATATGTTTGCTGCCTTGAGTTATTTATAAAAATAAAAAAGCAGGATATAAACAAATAAATTCAATGCATTGCATGACAAAACTAGGAAGAAAAATGTATGGAATTGTATGTGCTTTTTATTTATTAACCTACTCTTCCTTCTTGAACAGAATAATCTTAAATTCAAGATTTTTGAGAAAATATAATACCATATACCCTTTTAGGAACATCATAGTTAGGTAAATTATGCATTGCAAATCTCCTTGCTGTGATTTTTTTTAATAATTCTCTCTTTACTTACAAACATGCTATATTTTTCAAAAGGAAATTATAAGTACTTAATACATTTGATAATACATTCCACATATTAATCTGAGGTAATTTTACCACATTAAATCAAGACTTTTTTCCATGTAAGTGCATAGCACTCTAATTTTAAACATTTATATATGTGGGTCTTAACCAAAATGAAAACCTAGCTGTTAAGGTCTTGGGATTTAAAACCCAACCAGCAGTGAAGCTGACCAGATGTAGCTGATACAATAAGAATGAATTAGCATAGCATGGGTATTTCCCTTTAAGACTGGGTTCTATAGGAGGTGTTTATATAAAGGCAGGCATTGGTGGGCATGTTCTCTCTCCTTGTGTCCAGTATTCATTGCAGAGTTCTCAATACAGAGTTAAGAAGAAAAAAGATTGCTTGTAAGATATTTTGCCTATCACGTATATATCTTGTATATAAATCACTGTTAAATGTCTAAGCCTTTGTGTGCTGTATTTTGTTCCTGGGTTGTCTCAGTCATGCTGCAAACGTTCTGACATTATGTTACTTACAGAAAATAATGCTTATGTGGATGCATCTTTTCTGATGCTATATTATACTAAATTTTCCATAAAATGAAGAAAATGCTGGTTCATACCACCAAATCCCAGGTATTCCCAAACTTACATTCTTTAAGTATTTATTATTATTATTGAATGTTGCAATGATTTATATATTTATAAATAATTATTTAAAAAGGGTAAGCTTGGGGATATCTGTGAATTGATATATATATAATCAAGTTAATATTTTAAAAAGGGTCCCTTCTGAGTCTCTTGCCACCTATTATCCAGTTGCAGGCTATGTTGTCTGCCCCATTTCTCAAGATCTTTCCCACATACCATTACACTTCATCTGGTAAAATACCCATCTTATTCTGATACTTTTAACATACAAATTCTGCTTCCTGATCAATCCTAGATGGAGGGATAGAGGGAGGAGGGATGGAAGAATACCATTTTATTTTATTTACTTCTTAGATTTTTAGCCTTATGAATTAGTTTTAGATAAATATCATTTTGTTTCCTAGTTCTAGAGTTGCACTTTAAACTGATAATAATAGTGACAATAGTGACAATAATCTGTATTATTCCATCAGCTTATGTTTATATCTGAGTCTCCTCCTCTTTAACTTTTAAAAGCTTGTTAATTATTTCACTCCATAGTGATCTTTGATGGAAATAGACAAACTTTGTGTAACTTTGACTACTTGTTCATTGGACAAATTCTTATTGTAATTTTTGCCCAGTCATAGCCAGGCTTACTTTTTAATAATTCCAGTTGACTTTATGTTGATATTTCCTATATAAAATACTGTATCATCTGCCCAAATGAGGTTTCAAGTCTGAAAAAAAAATCTAAGGGTTGTTAAGTTTATGTGAAATTAAGTTGGGGTGCTAGTTAGTCTATCACATGTCATTTTTGCTATGAACAAAGTACTTTCTGGAAGACAGTGGAGCCCCTCTAATATAATTATTGTTGCAATGAAAGCTTGGCAATGGTGGATGACAAGGTTGCATTTCCGGGAATATTTTCCACTATTAGAAATCTCACTGAGAAATGCTTGAAACAATCCAGTTGACCCAGAAAACTAGTTGACAACCACTCATTCTGGTAAATTTCATTTTAAAAATGAACAATCTACTAAAAGATGCTTTCTGCCTTTCATTCTAATTTAGTAACAGAATAGGACTATGAAAATGTATAAGCAAGCACACATGGGAAAATTCATTAAGAAAGAACAATCTTGCTGAGAAATATAAAAAGAAAGTCATCTATCGTTCAGATTAGAAATAACTACACTATTTTTTTCCAGTACAGTACCCAGGCTCTTCAAAAACCAGACAACAATAAATCTTGTCATTTAGCTGTGCTCTCTTTTCATTGCTTTTATTTCACTAATGTCTGTGGGTGTTAAATTATGTTACTCTGTTGGTCAGTTAAATAAACTCTATTGTTAGTGTGCTGATTTATTAGTTTTATTCCACAGCTTGTTTAATGACTTACACTATAATCTTTTAGCCTTTTCAGCTTGGATATTGTAATATTGTTTTAAGAATCTCATATGTCTGAACTTATAAAGTTGGCTGCTCAGGAAAACTTTCCTAGGCAGTATAGCTTGGTTTGTTGTAGTTCCACATTAAGAATGTGCTGTGCTAAAATTATTTTGGCTTGATCATTTCCCAAAGAAAGGACAGTCTCTTGTGAAAAGCCATAAAAATGCAATTTATCACTTCCACCTAGCACTAAAATAATCTGCTAATATCAAGGATTTCAATCCTATGGTGAAAAAAAATTAACTTGTTAACTTGCTAATATGTGAAGAAAATTATTTCGATTTTTTTCCCCCTCAATATCAATTGATCCCCTTTCACATCTGAAAGTAACATTAGAGATATACAGTGTGGTACCTGGGAGATAAACAAGTATGAAACAACAGCTTTTAGATTAAAAGCAAGGATAGGGAACGAATAGCCCATCAGATGTTGCTTGCTCAAATGCTCACCACTGATCATGCTGATTGTTACTGCTGGGAGTTAGACTTCAGCCATTCCCAAATGGCCACACATTTCCTATCCATCAGAAAATTACAGTGATAATGTCGTTGTGATTATAGAATAATACCACAATATCAGGAAATGCATGAAGTAGTTACAGTGATAAATCTGTGGTGAGGAAACCATTACTGCTGGTTTGAATTATGGAGGAAAAAAAATATATACGCATGTATGTGAAGGAGAAAAAAATCCTTTTGATTGATGAGCTGCAATTTCTTGAGCATGATTATGACAATAGTAGAAATCAAGATTTTGGGTGAGGATTTCAGAAAAAAAAGTTATTAATGCATAGTATATGGAAGTTCATAGTAATTTCAGACATAAACCTATTATAATACAGATTGAAACTGAAGAAAGATTAAATGTTAAGCTCATCCCCCAGGTCTTTATTCTTGATTGCCTAAAGACAGATGAAAGACACAAAATAAGCACTATCAAAATGATTACTTTGCTTTTCAACACAGTGCTTTTTTTGGTCAAACTGATAAGGCAGATTTTTGTAAAATATGGAAGGGCACAACTTTACCATACATGACATGAGTAAGCAGTCACAAATTCTATTTTAGCAATGTTGTTATATGCAGAGCTTTTAAGAAGTGATAACTCTGCTAATTTATTGCGTTTAAACAATAATGGCCAAACTTTTGTTTGAGGTCCAAATCAAAGAATAACAGATATCAGGTTGAAAACATCTATAGAATAATATCCGGTCTCTAAACAATATGATAATTACCTGATCCCAAGCATGGAAAGATGGAAGAGTTCTATGGTGATCTATAATTTCCCACTGAATTAGCAAAGATCTTTGATCCAGGTGTCTGTCTGTCTGTCTGTCTGTCTGTCTGTCTGTCTGTCTCTCTCTCTCTCTCTCTCTCTCTCTCTCTCTCTGTGTGTGTGTGTGTGTGTGTGTGTGTGTGTGTTTGATCATGTGTGTTTTTTTACAGCTCCCTCTGCAAGTGACATTACTGATACACCATACATGTTGAGCTACTAGAAGACTTTAGATACTGTTGGGATACTTTTGTTAAAATCAGAATTCAGTATGTTTTGCATCCCACTAGTAGGTACCTCTTATTCCAAAGTAAACTCCTTGTAACTTTAACATAGAGAAAGCTCATATAGATTCTTACACACTCAGTGGCATTGTATGTCTATGTCTGGCTGTGGGTGCTTGAGAGAAAAAAGTAAATCTTAGCTACTAAATAAGGGATAGGTATAAACTGTAAAAAAAAAAGAAGAAGAAGAAAAATGGGACAACAGAGAATGAGGTGGCTGGATGGAGTCACTGAAGCAGTCAACGTGAGCTTAAATGGATTCCAGGGGATGGTAGAGGACAGGAAGGCCTGGAGGGACATTGTCCATGGGGTTGTGATGGGATGGTCACAACTTTGTGACTAACAACAACAACAGCAGCAACAACAACAACAACATAAACTGTACTCCAAAGTGAGCCTTGTGTGTTCCAGGTTTCATCACAACAAAGCTGACGCTCAGAAAAATTTCTTCAAACATGCAGATTGTTTCAAACCCCAAACAACTGAAACATGCTTTTATCATACAATACTCTATACATCTCTTATCACTGTCAAATCGAACACTAATTATAGTGGTACTTGTTTCTTCCATGAATTGTCTTTTTCACCACCAATGGAGGTGCTACCGTAACCCCCCAACTAAGACAATGTTTACCCTCAGATGATGAAAGAATTCCC